GTATATATGTACACATATGCACACACACATATACTATACCTGAAATGTCTACAAACTTTTGTAACCTTTTGTAAGCTTGATGTGGGTACATGTTTTGTGAAAATCATAATTTCTTACCTGTGAAGGGCTCCTATTCTGAATGTAAAGATAAGACACATAAACATAGCTGTTTTTTTAATAACAATAATAATCTACATCATTAACATTTTCTCTATTGCTTTCTTAAGTCTAAAAATCAACAGAACAGCACATTAACATATAATATTAATAATTTGCATTATTAAAGTTTCTTCATTACTTTCTTGTTGCTATTCAGTAATTTTTTAGTTGTGTCTAACTCTTTGTGACCCCATTTGGGGTTTTCTTGGCAAAGATACTGGAATAGTTTGCCACTTTCTTTTCCAGCTCATTTTACAGAGGAGGAAACTGAGGCAAACAGGGTTAAGTGACTTGCCTAGGGTCATACAACTAGTAAGTGTCTGATACTACATTTGAACTCTGTAAGAAGAGTGTTCCTGACTCCAGGCCCAGCGATCTATCCACTGAGCCACCTTGCCACCTCATCACTTTCCTAAGTCTAAATAATCAACAAAACAACACATAAACATATAGTGTTAATAATCTACATTATTACATTTTCTCCATTACTTTCTTAAGTCTAAACAATTAACCAAACAATAAATCAAGGCCTGATTTGTAGTTGGTGATGTCTGAGGTGTGAACACTCACACTGAAAACTTAACACTTAGTTCTTATAATCTATCTTGAGCTGGTTTCAGCATACCCCTGTGAGCCATAGGATGTAGACCTGGAAGAAACCTTAAAGGTTACCTAGCTGGAGAACAATCAGGAATTATGCCCAAAGACATAAAACTGCCTATACCCTTTGACCCAGCAGTACCACTACTAGATCTGTTTCCAAAGATAATTAGGGAAAAAGGAAAAGAACCTACATGTTCTAAAATGTTTATAACAGCTCTCTTTGTGGTGGCAAAGAACTGGACATTGTGGGGATGCCCATCAATTGGGGAATGGCTGAAAAAGTTGTGCTATAAGAAATGATGAGCAGATTGATTTTAGAAAGACTTACATGAAATAATGAAGAGTGAAATGATCAGAACCAAGACAACAATGCATATAGTGATAGCAATATTGTTCAAAGAACAACTGTAAATAACTAAGTTATTCTGAGTATTATAACCACTCAAATCAACTACAAAGGACCTATGAAGGAACATGCTATCCACCTCCAGAGAGAGAACTGATAACTAGAAGTATGTATGGTATGATTTTACAGATACATACATACATATATACACAATCTACATACATATATACACATACATATACATATACACATATCTATGCCTAATACAGCCCTTCTCTGGGGTGGAGTAGAGAGAAAGGGAGGGGGACAATTTAGAACTTAAAGTGTAACAAAAAAAATTAATTAATTTTTTTAAAGTTACCTGTTTCAATGCCCTCATTTTACAGATGACAAAACTGAGGCTCAGAAAATTTAACATATTTGCCCAATTTTTTGCCCCCCCCATTAACTTTTTTGTCCCTACTTTTTTGACTTCAAACTCTGTTCTTTCTGGTATATACCGTACTGGTCATCAGGTCTTTGTTTCTTTTGAACTAGGTGTTTTTTAAGCTTCTTCTAGTCCTAGATCCTACAAACACACATTTCCATAATGTTTTGATTTGTTTTGTTTGGCAAGGCAATTGGGGTTAAGTGACTTGCCTAGAGTCACACACCTAGTAAGTGTTATGTGTCCGAGGCTGAATTTGAACTCAGGTCCTCCTGACTCCAGGGCCGGTTCTCTATCCACTGTACCACCTACCTGCCCCTCCATAACGTTTTAAGGATTACAAAGCACTTTCTTTCCAACAACCTTGTAAGGTAGGTAGTATAAATATTATTATTCTCATTTTTATACATGAACATACTGGTGCCCAGAAAAGATGTTACTCTGCTAATTGTTTAGACTTAAGAAAGTGATAGATAAAATGTTAATACTGCAGCTTATTAATCCTGGTTTCCCCTTTCCCTCAATGTTTTTTTTCTTTAATGGAAAAACATCTTTACCAGCTTTTCTTTGCAATGATAGTGACCTACCACTGTCTGACATCTTGACTAAGGCTCAGACTTCAAGGGTAGATCAGGAAAAGGGGACAGAGGGTATGTCTTATATTGGGAAAATGGAAAGGGCTAATTTAATGGTAGAAAAATTTTGTTAGTGAATTGTATTATATAATAAAAATTGTCTAGAAATGCAGCAAATAGTAGCCCATCTTCTCTGCCTGGAGGTTACATCAGCAGTATAATTTCATGTCAAGTTAACTAAGGGCAGCTAATAGTGCAGTAGATAGACTATGGGACCTGGAACCGGGAAGAGTCATCTTTGTGAGTTCAAATCTGAACTTAGACACTTACTAACTATGTGACCCTAGGTAAATCACTTAACCCTGTTTGCTTCAATTTCCTCATCTGTAAAATGATCTGCAGAAGGAAACGGAAAGCCACTCTGGTATCTTTGCCAAGAAAACCCCAAATGGGATCACGGATAATCAGACAAGACTGAAAGGACTCAACAACAGGAAGGAATTAAAAATATATTAGGCACCTACTATGTTTGAGGCACAGTACTGAACACTTAATAAATTTAATCCTCTTTTATTTAACCCTTTTTTAATCTTGTTTAATCCTTACCCCAACCCTGGGAGGTAGATGCTATTTTTCCCTTATTCTACAGATGAGGAAACTGAGGCAGAATAGTTAAATGCCTTGCCCAGGCTCACATATTAAGTGTCTGAGATCAAATTTGAACTCAGGTCTTCCTGACTCCAGGTCCAGTGTTCTATCCAATGCACCACCCGGCTGTCTCTGAAGTCTCAGCTTCTCCGTTTCTTGATCATGCGACCTTAGGCAAGTTATTTAACCACTCTGGTCCACCATCGTCTGTAAAATGATGATCTTCGTACTTGTACAATCTATCTCACAGCAGTGTGCTGAGGGAGGTGTTTTATAAACTGTAAAGCGAACGGTTATTATAGAACATGAACCATTAATATGCATTCAGGGTTAGCGCTGCTTTTTCATTTTCAAGAGACACAACTCCTAACTGCTGAAGTAGAATGTTGAGGCAATTCTGTGTCCCTGCAAAGGAGGCGGGGCTGGTGCCAGAGGTTTTCAGGAGACTTATTTATGCAACTTGTGTGGACATGCGTATCTCACACATACCCACACATCCTCCAAATGTTGCCTGTTATTGTCTGTCCTGGGCTAGCAGGCAGATTCTTATTCTCAAGACTATTCACTATGGCTAGGGTGGCTGATTTCTCCAGCATTCTCCTCCTCAGAAATCATCATGCCTGAGTATTTTCACACAGATATAAGAAGCACGGTGATACTTGAGGGTCATAATGATGACCCAGAGGCTCTGCAAGAGCGTAAAATGCCTCCTGAGTAATCCAAGAAAGATAAAATAAGGCTTAGTAGAATATTAATAATGTGAGGGGGATTTTCTTGTGCTGTGATCTTTGCAAATTGATCATCTATGGCACATGTAAGTGCTAAATGCCTTCTTCCCCAACCATATTACATAACAGAATTTAATCAACAAGTATTAAGTGCTTACTCTGTGCCAGCTCCTGTAATAAGTACTGGAGATACAAAGAAAGGCGAAAGACAGTCCCTGCCCTCAAGGAGCTTACATTCTAGTGGGGGAGATAGCATGTACCTAAATATGTATATACTGTACAAGATGCCCAGGGTCACACAGTTAGTAAGTGTCTAAGTTCAGATTTGAACTCATGAAGATGACTCTTCCCAGTTCCAAGTCCCATAGTCTATCCACTGAACCATTAGTAGCCCTTAGTTAACTTGACTTGAAATTATACTGCTAATGTAACCTCCAGGCAGAGAAGATGGGCTACTATTTGCTGCATTTACAGATGATTTTCATTACATAATACAATTTACTAACAGAATTTTTCTACCATTAAATTAGCCCCTTCCATTTGCCCATTCTCAGACATACCCGCTGTCCCCTTTTCCTGATCTATCCTTGAAGTCTGACAAGACAGTCAGTCAATAAACATTTATTAAGCACCTACTATGTGCCAGGTATTAAGCTAAACATTGGATAGTTGGAATGGCTAGGAAGTAATTTCTGAGAGGATGACACTAAGCAGTAGAGGAGAATGGGAAAAGCCTCCTGAAGAAGGTAGCATTTGAGCTGAGTTCAAATGTGACCTCAGATGCTTACTAGTTGTGTGACCTTGGGCAAGTCCCTTAACCTCTGGCTTTGAAAAATGGGAATAATAATAACTCGTACTTCCCAGTGTTGTGAGGGTCAAATGAGATAATATTTGTCAAGCATGTGGCACAGTGCCTGGCATATGCTTTGTTGTTCAGTCATTTCAGTTGTGTCTGACTCTTCATGACCCCATTTGGGGTTTTCTTGGCAAAGATACTGAAGTAGTTTGCCATTTCCTTCTCCAGCTCATTGGACAGTTGAGGCACTGAGGCAAATAGGGTTAAGTGACTTGCCCAGGGTCACATAGCTAGTAAGTGTCTGAGGCTAGATTTGAACTCAGAAAGATAAGTCTTCCTGACTCCAGGCCCAACACTCTATCCAGTGCACCACCTAACTGCTCCATCACTTTAAGTCTACAATGAACGAAACAATACATAAACATATAGCATTAATAATCTACATTATTAAATTTTCTCCATCACTTTCCTAAGTCTAAAAACCACAAAACAATACATAAACATATAGCGTTAATAATCTACATTATTAAATTTTCTCCATCACTTTCCTAAGTCTAAAAACCACAAAACAATACACAAATATGTAATATTAATACTGTACATTATTAAATTTTCTCTGTTACTTTTTAAAGACTCAACAATCAACAAAACACTACCCACTGAGATGTGGCACATAGTAGGCACTTTAATAAATGTTTGTTTTCTTCCTTCCTTAAAGGAAGTCCAGGATTCTAAGAAGCATAGGTGAGGAAAGAGTCTTCCAGGCATGAGGATGATGAGTAAGAACAAAGGTAAGGATGGAGGAGAAATGAAGTGTTGTGTGTAAGGAATCAGCAAGAGCTGCTTTGAGTGCTTGTAGAGGTGCATAAGGTATAAGAAGAAAGGAAAAAAGGCCAGAGGGGTCCAGGGGGGTGAAGAGTCTTCCCTGAACTCCAACTTTGTAGCCTGCTTCCTAGTGAAGCTCCTTTTATTTTGGTGGGAACTCTGTCCCTACGATAAAAACCGATGTCTGTTTGGCCTGATGTGACTCTGACACTAGACACTGACCGATGCAGCTGCCTCAGGACGCTGAGTGCAGGGAGTCTGAGTTCCCAGCTCTGAGACTCAACCCCTCAGAACACAGAGCTTCTTCATCTTGGTTGCAGATAAGTCATTATTTTAATGTCTTTCTGGGCACTATGGCTAACCCTCCCGAGATAAGAATAAACAGAATGCCTTCCTCTTCAGTACATCACAGCAGTGCTGCCTCAGCACATCTCTCCCACTTATCATCCCCTTAAAGCTTTTAAGGATTTGTCTTCCACATTTGTGAACACCCCCAGTAGACTGTTCGGGTTTGGTTTATCCCTGAGAAAAACTGGCATTAAAATAGACCTTTTCCCAGCAATAATAATCTCATTTACCATAAATTATTCTATTCTCAGTACCTTTGAGACACACGAGAGCTTTTATGTAATAAAAAAGCCATTTATTTCAGAATATTTTAATGCATGTTTCCATATTTTTCTCATTTTTAATGCAAGGGCCATCGAACATGATTGTAAGTGGCTATGTGTTTTTTTTTTAAAGGAAATTTACGGCAAATGGAAGCATGACAGAGACGGCCCAGTACGTCATTTCACAGCAATACTGGTGAAGGGAACAATGTAAAGGCATCCTAATTCTCACTGACTGGTATCAGGAAAAGGAGCTTTGCAGAGAGAGACAATACAACTGAATCGATGGGAGATGGGAGACCTACCTTTAATGGAGAGCCCTTTCTCCAAATGGCTCTGGGCAAACCACTTAACCCCCTCCAGGTTTCAATTTCCACTTCTGAGAAATAAGTGGAAAAGTGACAGATGTGTGACTACATTCTAGGAGTGTTCCCATGATTAACTAGGCACATAAAATGAAAAAGGAGGTCTTACTATGTGTGGTTAAAAAGAAAGACAATCAGGAAAAGTTTTTCTTTCATTTTTTTAATTCTAGCACCTATCCATTCTTGACAGAAGAGACGGTTTCATTCTTGAATTCATATAGATCATGCATTTTTAAAAAGCTATAGAGTAAGAAATGGTACATCAGACATGTATACTTATAATAGAAAAGAAAATCACATACTGGATATAACTAACACATACATATTTCTTTTTGCTACCTTTCTACTATGTAGTCTATGAAGCAAACCATAAGGTGGAGAGAGAGAGAGAGAGAGAGAGAGAGAGAGAGAGAGAGAGAGAGAGAGAGAGAGAGAGAGAGAGAAACACATAAAGACAGACAGAGAGAGAAAATTCATTTCTTAAGTATTTGCTATATGATGCAACTACAAGCAAAAAGATAGTCCCTGTCCTCCAGGAGCTTACTTTTTAACCAGAGAAGACAACATCCAAAAGGGAGTTGGAAAGTTGAGGTAAAGAGGAGGAAGGGTACTTAGGTACTTAGGAATGAGGTCGAAAAGTCTGAAGAGTCAGGAGATGAGCTTGGAAAGAATGAGTATGGAAGGTGTGGGTACTGCCTGAATGGTGCTCTTGGATAGGAAGTCACCAACAGAGGAGGGGTGGAGGCAGCTATGTGCTGGTAAATGTTTAACTATTGGCTCTCTAGGGAGGAAAAAGTGAACATGTGACACAGCTGTAGTTTAATCTGCATTATTTAGTTTTCTCCATCACTTTCTTAAGTACAGACATTCAACTGAAGAAGACATCAAGCCCTACTTTATAGCATTGACTGATTTTTGAGGTGTAGGTGCTCACATTGAAAACTGAACAATCAGCTTTCATGAATCACTTAGATCTCATTGGTTGGCTCTTGTCCTTCATTCTCAAAGAGGACCAAAATGACATCACTCTGTTGGAATCAAGGTACAGCATGTCCAACTGTGGCTGATCATATCAACATGAGCCAGGAAGACTCTACCACAGGTCAGACATAAATAGACCATTTCTAATGGAGTTGTCTCCAAATTTGTGCATCTCACATTTCTTTTGAGCTACTGCAATTCTTCTTTGCTCATAGAGTACAGCACCTTCTTTGGTATGGGCATGCCATGCTAGGTGGTCATGTGCCAGTGGTTCCCATGGCTCACAATTGATTCCAAAGTTCTTCAGAGAGACCTTGAGAATATCTTATATTGCTTCTTCTGACTGCCGTGTGGGCACCTGACTTGGGTGAGTTCTCTGTAAACTTTTTTTTATTAATTTATTATAATCACTTCCATAAGCTTTTTAGTTTTAAATTTTTCTCTCCCTCCCTCCCCACCTCCCTCTCCAAGATGGCACACAATCTGATATAGGCTATACATATACGTTCCTATTAAACATATTTTCACATTAGTCATGTTGTAAATAAGAATCAGAAACAATAGGAGGAACCACCAGAAAGAGGAAACAAAACACAACAGAGGAAAAGAAATAGCAAATAGTATGCTTCAATCTGCATTCAAAACCCATAGTTCTTTCTTTGGATGTGGATAGCATTTTCCATTATGAGACCTTTGGAGATGTCTTAGATCCTTGTATTGCTGGGGAAGGGTTAAGTTTATCAATATTAGTCATCATACAATGTGGCTGTTGTTGTGTACAACATTCTCCTGGTTCTGTTCACTTTGCTCAGCATGAGACCATACAAATCTTTCCAGTTTTTCTGAAGTCTGCCTGTTCATCATTTCTTATAGCACAATAGTATTCCATTACATTCGTATACCACAAATTGTTCAGCCATTCCCCAATTGATGGGCATCCTCTCAATTTGCAATTCTTTGCCACCACAAAAAGAGCTCCTATAAATATTTTTGTACATGTGGGTCCTTTTCCCATTTGCATGATCTCTCTGGGATAAAGCCCTAGAGGTGCTATTGCTGGATCAAAGGGTATGCACATTTTTATAGCCCTTTGGGCATAGTTCCAAATTGTTCTCCAAAATGGTTGGATCATTTCACAACTCCACCAACAATGTATTAGTGTTCCAATTTTTCCACATCTTCTCCAATATTTATCATTTTCCTGTTTTGTCATGTTGGCCAATCTGATAGGTGTGATGTGGTACCTCAGAGTTGTTTTGATTTGCATTTCTCTCTAAAATATGATTTAGAGCATTTTTTCATGACTATAGATGCTTTAATTTCTTCATCTGAGAACTATCTGTTCATATCCTTTGACCATTTATCAATTGGGAATGCTTGTATTCTTATAAATTTGACTTAATTCTCTATATATTTTAGAAATGAGGCCTTATCAGAGACACTGGTTGTAAAATTCTTTCCCAATTTTCTACCTTCCTTCTAATCTTAGTTGCATTGGCTTTTTTGTGCAAAAACTTTTCAATTTAATGTAATAAATTATCCATTTTGCTTTTCGTAATGTTCTCTATCTCCTGTTTGGTCATGAATTCTTCTGTTCTCCATAATCTGATAGGTAAACTATTCCTTGTTCTCCTAGTTTGCTTATAGTATCAGCCTTTATATCTAAATCATGAACCCATTTTGACTTTATTTTGGTATATGGTGTGAGATCTGGGTCTATAGTTTCTGCCATACTTTTTTCCAGCAGTTTTTGTCAAAGAGTGGATTCTTATCCCAGAAGCTGGGGTCTTTGGGTTTATCAAATGATAGATCACTATAGTCATTGACTACTGTGTCTTGCATACTTAACCCAATCCACTGATTCATCACTCTATTTCTTAGCCAGTACCAAGTAGTTTTGATGATTTGCTTTATAATACAATTTAAGATCTGGAATGCTAGGCACCTTCCCCTGCATTTCTTTCATTAGTTCCTTGATATTCTGGACCTTTTTTCTTCCAAATGAATCTTGTTATTATTTTTTCTAACTCCATAAAATAATTTTTTGGTAGTTTGATTGGTATGGCACTGAATAAGTAAATTAGCCTAGGTAGAATTGTCATTTTTATTGTATTAGCTCTGCCTACCCATGAGCAACTGATGTTTTTCCAATTATTTAGATCTGACTTTGTGTGAAAAGTATTTTGTAATTGTGTTCATATAGTTCCTGGGTTTGTTTCAGAAGGTAGACTCCTAAATATTTTATAATGTCTACAGTAAGTTTAAATGGGATTTCTCTTTCTATCTCTTGCTGTTGGGCTTTGTTGGTAATATATAGAAATGCTGATGATTTATGTGGGTTTATTTTATATCCTGCAACTTTACTAAAGTTGTTCATTATTTCAAGTAGTTTTTTACTTGATTCTCCATAAACTTTTAAAAGATAACTCCATAACTCCATTGTCTTTTAGGCAAACATACTTTTGATATTTGAACAACGTGGCCAGACCATTGGAGTTATACTTTCTATAGTAGAGTTTGAATGCTCTACATTTTAGCTCAATTGTCTAGTACCTTATCTTGCCAGGTGATCCTCAGAATATTCTTAAGACAATTCAAATGGAAGCAATTCAGTTTCCTGGTATGGCACTGATAGACTGTGCAAGTGTCACAGGCATACAACAATGAGATTAACACAACTCTGTAGACCTTCAGTTTGGTAGTCAGTGTAATACTTCTTCTCTCTCATACTTTCATTCAGAGCCTCCAAAACACTGAGCTATCTATGGCAATGTGTGTATCAACCTCATTATCTATGTGTACATCCCTGAAAGTATTCCACCAAGGTAAGTGAACTTATTCACAGCATTCAAAATTTCTACATTTGCTGTAACCAATAGTTCCACATTTGGATGGTGTGGTGCTGGGTGATGGAATACTTATGTTTTCTTGGTATTGTCAGGCCAAAATTAGCAGAGAAAAAAGTGCTAGAGAATCAATCCATATTCTGTTGCATCTCAGCCTCAGAGACTGCATTGAGTGCACAATCATCTACAAACAAAAAAATCAAGTGCTAACTCTCCCTCCTCTTTAGTCTTGGATCATAGCCTTTTCAAGTTAAGCAGTTTACCATTGGAGCGTTAGTTTACCTTGATGTCCTTCTTGTACTCACTGAAGGCTTCTGACAGCTGCTGAAAACATAATACTAAAAAGCATGGGAGCAAATACACAGCCCTGCCACACTCCATTGGTGACTGAGAAAGTGCAAGAGTATCATTCATTATCCAGAAGCTGGGAAAGCACACCATCATGAAATTGAAGTACAATATTAATGAACTTCTCCGGACAACCAAAATTTTGATATAATTTTACACAAGCCCTCACAACTGACTTCAAAGGTTTTGATTAGATCAACAAATGTTGTGTATAGACCTCTGTTCTGCTCCTGACATTTCCCCTGGAGTGATTAGGCATCAAACACCACATCAACTGTTTCTTGGCCCTTTCTGAAGTCACAGTGGGTCTCAGGTAGATGACCATCTTCCAGGTGAAGGATCAGCCTATACTAAGAGAGAGAGCCCCCTGTAATTGTCATAGGACAACCTATTTCCTTTACATTTATAGATAGCCTCCTCTTGCCTACATGGCAACTTGGAAAATTTCAGTCAGCTTTTGTAGGAGCAGTGGACCTCCTGCCTTGTAAATCTCAGCTGGAATAGAATCAGCACCGAGTGCTTTGCCACATGAGAGAAGCTTAATGGCATTCAAAATCCCTTCTTCAGTTGGAAATTCAACTAGAGAGAGATTGACTTCAGCCTGAAGTAAATGATCATGGGCTTCAGCATTGATTGATGCTGGTCTGTTGTAAACACTATGGAAGTGTTCAGCCCATCTCTCTAGGATCAGGTCCTTATCACCAATGATTGTGGCTACATTAGCATTGAGTAATTGAGGTACACCTATAGGTCTTTGGCTCATGAATAGCCTTCAGGGCATCATAAAACTGCTTTGGATTGTTACTATCAGCATAATATCATACATATCATGCCTTCTTACTGAGCCAAGAATCCTGTATCTCTCTAAGGTTCATTTGATGGAGTTAAATGCTGCCTTCATAGAGACAAATGGATTATTTTGTTGGAAAAGCCTGTGTGGAGTTCTTATTTTGTTTAGCAGCTTCTGAATTTCCCCATCATTTTCATCAAGCCAATCTTGATGTTTGCAAGTTTTCTGGCCAAGATGAGTAAATGCAGTGCTGTACACCAAATCTCCAAATGCTGCCCATTCCTTTTCTGCTCCACTGTTGCCAATCATGTGTTAGTTCAGCTTTCCCTCCAAGTTTGCAACAAACTGTTCCTGCTCAGAGAAGCACTCTAATCTGTCCATCTTAAGTCTTCTGGTAGTCACCTTTCCTTGGGGCCATCGCTTTTGTTGAATGTGAATATTTAGCTTGGAGAGGATACGTCTATGGTTGGTCCAGCACTCTGTGACACAAATCACCTTTATCACTCTCACATCTTATCCATCTCTTTTCCTTACAAAGACATATTCTATTAAATGCCAACGTTTGCTGTGAGGGTGCATCCATGAAGTTTTATTGCATTTAGGTAAATGGAAGACAGTGTTGGTGATGAGAAAGTCATGAGATGCATAAGCCTTCAGCTAAGTGACCATTGCTATTGCTATTTCCAACTCCATTCCTCCCAAGTATTCCCTCCCATGTCTGGTAGTCTTTGCCTACTATGGCATTAAAGTCAGCCAGAATTATAAGCTTGTTTTCTTTGGCACATTGATGATGAGTGTCTTCAGGTCTTCATACATTTTTCCTTTGACTTCATCAGGGTTCTTTGTGGTGGGAGCATATGAACTGATGATGGTAGTGTGATGTTTTTCTGCAAGTGGCAATCGCATTGGCATGAGCCTGTCATTTGCTCCTTTTGGTAGGCATACAAGCTTGCTGACTAGATTAGTTTGGATTGCAAAACCTACACTAGCCTTATGGCATTCCCCTTCACTGCAGCCACTCCAGAAAAATTTGTATCCAGTGCTGCCTTCAGTAAGCTGGCCTTCATTTGCCAGCCTTGTTTAGCTTAGGACTACTGTTCGTATATGATACCTACTGAGTTCTCTCAAAATAAGAGCTGTTCATCTTTCAGGTCTACTGGATTTTGTGTTATTTGTAAGTGTGTGCACATTCCATGTACCACTGGTGAGTGGAATCAACTTTGCAACAATTTTTGTACATTTGTGTGTGTGTGTGTGTGTGTGTGTGTGTGTGTGCGTGTGTGTGTGTTTCAACTGCAGAGTAGGTTCCTGCCTGCCTTAGTAAACAGGCCAGACTTGGATAAAGCAGACAATTTTTAGGGCACCTTTTCTAGTCCCTTCCTCACACCAGGAGGTGAGCAGTGTGGTCCTTAAAAGGCTACTCAAGGAGCAGCTAGGTGGCGCAATGGATAGGACACTGGTCCTTG